TGGATTTAGTGGCATTCTGAAGTTTCTGTATTGTCACCTATATTGCATGAAGAGACAAAGAGCAGGTGGAATTTTGTTCATGGTTTTTTGGTAGAGGAAGGTTCTGGAATGTTAGAATGTTGGTTTGTGGTTACAAAAGTATATCAGGAAATCATCTACATTGATGTTTTTTGACTTACAATATAGAACATTTGTACCCAAATGGAAAGTCAAGTGCCATCCTCTCCTGTTGTTGGAGATGTCTCTATTTACATATGATTTTCTAATTTCTTATGGTCTATGTATAAAAAAATTATGCAGGATGACATGTGTACATATTTTTTTCAGTAGCAAGGTGTGTCATGATGTGCAAATTTGGAGGAGATACAGTATGTGTCACCTGTCACCTAGCAACGAGCATTCTGCATTATATCTTTAGATTTCCTTCACTTTAAGTCAAAGTAGCTGTGAAAACATAGTACTTAGATTTGCATTTATCTCCAGAAATATTTAGAATAACCTTCAAATATTTTTAGTTCCCAAGATAATCTACTATGACACATGAAACAAAAATAACTTTAAATGAAGCAAAAATCAGCTTACATGGTAGGAACCTTGAGACTCAGAGCAAGGCAAACTTGGAATTCTTACATAATAGTTCAAACTTAGATGCACAAAGCCTGCATGTCAGTTCCCCCATCAGCTTTTAAAGTTATGGCTACTGAATTGAATATGTATATAAACCTTTATTACTTGACTTTTCCTTTCTTTTTATTAATACTGAGAAACAGTCACAACTGATGAAGTAGTGATTTGTAAACTTGAATCTAAAAGTCAGTATTCCAAATGACCTGGCTGCATCAACACCAGAGTTCAATTGATTTACCTGAAACAGAACAACTAAGTCACCTTTATGGAGAGAATGGATGCCTTGCCTAGTCAGATGTCTACAAACACACCAGAATGTGTTTTGGTGTCTGCATTTCCAGGCCTCTAACGGGATTATCAGAGGCACTAGCAACAAGTGGTCCTGAGACATTTAAGAGTACTAAACACTGACCTTTAATGATTGAGAACCTGAGAGATCGTTAAAGAGGTGGTCAAGAGTGAGCAGCCTGGAGCTGCAGAAGAATGTCTGCACCCCGAGGTAGTTATTTCAGGTCGTTCTTTATTTGTGAAATGGACCAGATCTGTTCGGAGTATGGCCAAGGTCATTTTTGCTGCCCAGAGTGTGCTTTTTGAATTATAAAGGAAGCTGTATGATCACGTGTGGAAATTTTAAAAGAATCCAAAGAGAAAATGAGGATCTTAGAAAATCATTCTCTTCCTGTAGTTGCTAAAGAGAAACAGGTGTAACTGGAATTTCTCTGCCCTTTCCTTAAAACGCCAGTGTTTACCCATGTTTCCAGGTAACACCAGTTTTTAAAGAAATGTAACACTTTTTGTGGGATATAAATTTACACCATTTCTTATTTCTCATTTTTTGATACAGAAATAAGTAATTTTTCACTGTCCTGCACCTAATGACATCTGGAAATAATCTTTTAAAGCAGGAAAGTGAGTACCACAACCATTGTGTACTGATTGCTTTGGTAGGAACTCCGGCCTTTAAATTACTTGTGCTTTGGGGGAAGATTTACATATTTGATAGGACAGAACAAGTTTAATTCAGAAACTGATGAGATAATGTTATTGGAAATAATTACTTTTCCTTTGTCATAGTTTGGTTTTTATAAAGACTTGGGGGAAACCCAAAACCCCTTAGTGTGAATGAAATTTCTTTTGTTCTATCATGTGATGTCCTTTTAGGAAAATCTTTTTCATTTTGCCTGTTAAATAGCTCAGCCATTGATTAAATAGTGACAATTCTTACAGGTATGGCATTTACCATTTTACAGATTGTTATGTTATTTAGAATAGGCAGCAGAAACCACAAGAATCATTATTCCTGCTTCTGTGAAGGAAATTGAACTCAGTGATGTTGAATGAGTTAAGGTTTCACAGCCGCAGTTGATAGAAGTGTGACGTGTGACGGGGAGCAGATCTTCTCACCTCTAAGCTGTATCTTTATTTCCTTGCCATCAGTCGTGCTGCTCACAGTATAGTGTTGGTGAATAAAGAATAAGTGATGGATGTTGAACACTCTCTTAGCAGTTTGAATTGATGGAAAGCAAAACATATTATACCAGGCCCTGTCCAACTTCAAAACATACCAAGGCATGCATTTAAATTATAGGTGATTACAAGACCACGTGGTAATATAAACCACGAAGAGCCGTGCAACAAAACTTGGAACTAAAAATACCAATTTTAGAAGGATTCTGACATTATCTAACTTGTTATGCTGGATAAAAGATACATCTGATTACTTTTATCATTTTGAGTGGATCTTAAAGTAGTTCAGGTGCTGAACTCACTGAACTAACTTCAGAACAAATGATAACATTAGGATAATTTTTGAATCCCCAAATGCACCAAAAATGTGTATACCAGGTTATTTATAGTTCACATAATTTAATGTTTATTTCAGCCTGTCGAAAAGTAAAATTATGTAATTAAAGCTTAAATTACTTAGGTAAAAATGTATCTGTGTCATTCATACAGAAAGGAATTTTCTTTATGTGATTTTCCTGATTTCTCCTTATTAACTTTATTCTCTTATCACATTTACTGTTATCTTAAAATTTGCTACTGTAGGGCCTCTGCTATGTATTGGGATGCAAAGATGAGAAAGGGCCCTGTGGTGGTTTTCTTCCTTCTCCTAGTAGGACTCCACAGTGTATTGGTACAGCTAGATGCAGTGGAGTCAAAGTGAGTGGAGGTTGAAACCTGTGCAGTACTAGGCTCCCTTTCCTCTCTTGATCAGAGCTGTCGGTGTCCATCAGAGGATGTACAGGAATCTGGTTGTACAGGAATCATCAGATTGTCCAAGGATTCATATGGAAGACTATCAAATTGCTAGTAAAAATCATAAATTATGAGATAAAAATGAGGAAGTAATGATGTATTGCTACAATGGAATATAGAAATTTTGGACAGAGTGTTGATGCTTTTAAAATCAAGAAAATACTTGTGGTACTCTTGTTGCTTTGTATCTGCAGAGGGTCGGATCTAGGAACACATGTAGATACCAAATTAACACTGCTGAGTCTTTTACAATATATGAATCGTATTTACAGATAACCTATGTATATCCTCCTGTGTGCTTTAAACCGCCTCTAAATTTCTGTTACCATATAAATGCTGAGCAAATCGGTATTACACTGCATTGGTTAGAGGGAAAGGACAAGAAAAACAGCTGTGCATGTTCATTACAGATGCAATTTTTTTTCATCGAATATTTTTGATCCAAGGTTGGTTGAACCCATGAGTGTGGAACTGGAGGGTATGGAAGGCTCACTGTATATTAACATATAAAAATTCAGAAAACTACATTTTGAAGTGTAATGAGGCAGAATGTAAGATTGAAGAAAGTTTCAAAGTATTTTGTGCATTTTTCTAACATGTAGAAACTGAAAGAAAAGATGTATTTGATGAGAACACCATGTTAGATTTTTTTTGAGAATTTCAGAAGATAACTATATTATGGTTTCACATGTAAAACAGAATTATACTCTGAATTTTAAGAGAATAATTGTCTGTTCTTTTAATGCATAAATATTGCGTTTGTAAAGTAGTATTTTTAGTAGTAGTAACAGTAGTAGAAGTCAGTAGTAGTGGAAGTAAAAACTGAAATATGTATTAAGGGCATATGTTTTGAGAGGAGTGAGAGACATACTTAAAATTAAGGTTCACTGGGCTACCCAATGGATCATGTCACAGAGCATGTCACAGGCCAGCCCAGTGCATGAGGTGGTCCCAGCTACATTTCACTGCGGGATTTATAAGCGAGTTCTTGTTCTGTCTCTACGTATGGGTCTGCATATGCGGGAAGCAGGCCCGTTGCTCCCCTGCAGAGGCAATGGCACAGAATAGGTGTGGCCCTCTTAAGTGTAATTCCAAATGGAAAAAGAAAAAGGCATCTGTGCCTAATAAGCTGGCTCCACTGAGTGCCAAAGAAAATTTGCCTCATGAAATGGAAATTCTGAAGCAGGTTACATAATGCTGAGCAAATAAATAGAAAGCCTCTTAAGATACTGTATATCCAGATGGGGCAAATGGTTTATTGTAATCAGAATTTTCTGAACCAGTAATAGTAAGTTATACTTGGTGAAATCCAAGTGGTCCTGGAGATGTGGGAACTTCTACAAATCACATAAATACTTACTTTTATTTATTTAACTTTTATGAAGAAACATGGAAACTTTATTCATTTTTCAAAAAGTTACTTTGGTGTTAGCCAACATTGAGTCATGGAAATTTGTTTTAATTACTTTGGACATTTATATCAGTTGTAAAGAGAAAAATGTTCATCTCCTCAGTAAAAGACCAGCTCTTTAAAATTTTCTTCCTTGCTAAGGATAATGGAGTTATACTCCATTTTGAGTATTTGTGGGTTCTCTTTCATACAGGAAATTCATACAGAAGCCAGATTTTACCCTTTTCACTCAGCTTTCTCTGCTGCACCCCTCAACCCCTTTGATTCCTACTCATCTTCATCATCTTGTGTTCGGGATGTTGCCATGGTGTTGTGGCTGGGCTGGTTCTCTCTTCCCTCATTTTTCCGTTATTCTTACATGGCAAATACAGCTAGCTGGCTGTGGTGTATATGTTTGTAATCCCAGCAGTCCTTGGGACGCTGAGGCAGGAGGATTGTCCTGATTTTGAGGTCACCCTGGGGTACATAGTGAGTTATCCTGTCTCAAAACACAACGGAACAACAAAACCCAAAGAAAGAGCAAATAAAAAACAAGAGAAATTCCTCAACTATTTTTTTTTATCATGTCATTTTACTACTCAAGAGCTTAAATAACTGCAGGGCTGAGGTGTGGTTTTTTGGTACCGTTTTTTTACATTAGTAGTCTTACTGTCAACTTGTAGAACTTATTCTCATTGTATCTTCTGCTCTGCTTTTCTTGCAGGATCAATGTGACTCTGTTAACAAATGGATGAATGAGTATCCATATGAAGAGGAAAACGATAAAGGTTGGTTAGTCAAGCTGTATAATTGCATTGAACAGTTGCAGTAATAAATTGAACAGTATTTCCAGGCAGTTATTAGAACATTTCCTTGTCTGGCTGAGTGTGAAATAGCAGTTAATCCTTGGACCAATACATTTATCAGTAAGATATGATTTTTCTTTTAAGTACTTAAATATAAAGACATTTATAGGGAAGCTATCTGTTTTTGTGCAAGTATAGTTATCATTCTTTTTTTCTGTTGTTTTGAGATAAGGTCTTGCTGTGTGGTTCAGGCTGGCCTTGGGCTCATTTTGTAGCCCAGGCTGGGGGTCTCAAACTTGCAGTGATCCTCCTGCCTCAGCCTCTCAAGTACACAGGAGTGTACCACCATGCTTGGCTTAGCTGTCATTCTTTTCCAGAACTTTAACTGGTATTTTAAGAATTAACTTTTAGATGACTATTAAAAAATTTAATACCAATTGATAACAACTGATTGCTAGGCCCCAAAATAGCCAGGTTTTGTTTAAAGTTCATCAGTTCCTACAAGCATAATCTGGAACCAGCACTGTGTGGTGCCCGTGTCTCTCAGACGCTGTCTTCTTTGCCCTTGCAGTCAGCTTTCTGTGGAAAAGTGGGATCACCACGAAAGGCTTTACGGTGGCTTCTCTCACACACAGTGTGAAATAGCAGACAGGAAACCCTGTGGATTGTAGAGTAATCAAATGCTGGGCACTGCTTTATTTGTGGTAGTTGAGTTTTTCTTCCACTTCATACTGGTTATAATATAAAAATCATAGGTAATACTGAAGAAATTACAGTATATTAAACTATCTCTGTTTTATAAATAGCCTTACACTGAACAGATGTGGTTCAAAGGAATGTGCCTTGTAACTCTTCATATGGTTGTGCAATACGTATGATGTCATATTTCCCTTCCCTGGTTACTGTGACTACTTTCAAATAAATGCATGGCATGCTGTGTCATTTTCTGCCAGCTTTCTTCCACATACTTAAAAATGATTTTTCCCGAGTATGTCTTTCAATTAAAATTGTCTACTTTTATTCTCACTGATAAAGTCTTTTCTTCCTTTCATAAGCAACCCTCTTTCTATGCCTTATTCTTTATCCAGGTTACTCTCTTTAGGGCAGGTAGCACTGAAACCCAGAGGTGGGCACCCTTAATCCTAGCATGTCACCGAGAATCAGTCCCAGCATCACATCCTCCATCTCAGCATCACACACCCTTGGTTCAGCTGTCTTGGAAAAGCCTCACCTATGAGCACTTGAAGCTTCCAGAGGACATCTGGGCACATGCTATGCCAGAGAATACAAAAAGTATACTTTCTTGTGGCCTTAGTATTATCTATGTGGTTTCATTAATTGTGAGAGCTACCTGTATAGTGTACTTTTTTGTATAGGCAACAGCACTGTACTAATAAACTGGTTCTCTGTGGGGAGGAGAATGGGGAAAGAGCTGACTTGTCACTATGTTAACGGATTTCTGTGTGTAAGTGGTACACTGGTTGGCTTCAGCAGTTTACCAACTGCTTGAGAAAGTCCTTAGCATTTAACAAGTGGTATTCATAACCTAGAGATGAAATAGCTATGATAATTCCATTCATTCAGTAAAGTTAGAAATTATATACTCCTTCTTAAGGCTAGTGAGGCAGGGCCAGGGATATAGCTCAGCAACACAGCGCCTATTGGCAAACACAAGGTCCTTAGTTTTATTACTGGTACAAAAAACAACCCCCAAAACAAAAACAAAATAAAACACCACCTCTCCAAACTGAAAACAAAGTAAAAAAAACAATAGGTAGAAGTATTTTTTGGCTTTATATAAACGTGAAAGTGTTCCTCATTGTCATGCAAACTGTCTTTAATTCTCTTCTTATGTATGATGTTGACAGTGTTCTATTTTCATTCAGTTGTCATTAAGTGTCTATTGAATGGATTGGTGCTAGCTTTATAAATTTATAAATTTTAGCACTGTCATTGTTCTGTAACTAATTTTAGAATGACAACTAAAGATGATGACGGAGAAAATCATCATTTTTCTACTTAGCCAGAGGATAAACTAAGAATATGATTGAGTAATTTATATGTGATTCATCCTAAATGGTCAGACATCATAGTTTATTATTCATAGGTTCAAAGTCCTTATGGGGAAAGGAACACTGAATATTTCATTTAATGTGTTTGTTCCTTGACATTTTTTTCTTTTTCCTTTTTCATGTTTTTTCTGTATTTTTAGTTATAGATCCCTTAACAGAAAAAACATTGATGCTTTTTTGTAAGTCTGTTTGAATCTCCTGCTGTTAGTTTTGACAAAGACAGATTCAGGGAGAAAACTGTGTAGTTAGAAATTTATGTTTTCTGCATTTTAAATATATTGACGAGGTTAGTATTAAGATGAAGTTTTAAGGGCTGGGGGTTTAGCTCAGCTGTGTAAGTTCCCTGGTCGCAAACGCGAGGTCGTGAGTTCAATCCCTGCTACTAAAAAAAAAAAAAAACGATGGGAAAAAAAGTCATTTGCAGAAGTGCTGTTCCCACTGAGAAAGACTTGAATAAGACTTGAATATGCAGAACTGAGAAAGGACTTGAATGTGGCTCTTGGACAATTTTGTACCTTTCCAGCTTGCCAGTGATGGTAAAACTTTGCCAAGAGCCAAGAATATCCTGTCATGCCTTTTTGCTTAGGTTCAAAAATGTAAATAGCCAACTCGGGATTTATAAATTTTCTCTTGAGTCTGAGACTTCTACTTCTAGGAGGAGTCTTCATCTGCCTTTTCATTAAAAAAATTCACTGGCATTAAGTTTGTTCCTTTACTCAATTTCATTGCACGTGAATTGGCCTGTTTATCGTATATCTGTAGAAAGCATTTGGTACGTTCTGAAAAGATCTAGCCTTTTATTATTTCCTCCTCAAAAACATCAGCGTAAAATCTGGTGTGTATACTCTTTACTGTATTTCAGGGGTTGTTCGCAGCTCTGAGGACCTGGCTCTTTGCTTCTTTGGTTTTCCAGCCATTTTGTTTGTTTATCCAGGGCTGCTCAGCAGCTGGCTTAGAGCAGACGCTCCAAACTTCCACGTGCCTTTACATTAGACCTGCTTATCAGGGTTCACGGGAAAACTTGTGCTCTGTGATTGCATCTGATGAACAGCTGCTTAAACCATCAGTGTTAACGCTGGGTGATTTTTACATTTCACATTGGAAGCCTAGAACACAACAGCAAGCCTCTCTGAGTGCTTTCCTTCCATACAAAACAGGGTTTGTTTCAGAGTGATGGGTGTGTGCGTTGTGAGTACTTTATATATCTTTGCCATAAAGAATAAGACTTGCTGGTGACACGTCTTTTTTTTTTTTTTTGGTGTGGGGTGAGATTGAGAATGGAACCAGGGCCTTTGCACTGAGCCTCACCCCAGCCTCCCTTTTAAAGAATATTTTGAGAAAGGGTCTTGCTAAGTTGCCCAGGCTGGTCTTAATTTATGATCTGCCTGTCTGAGCCTCCCAGAGTGCCCAATTAGAGGATGTGCTTCCCACTTTGAACTAGCAGCCAAGATCCCAGGTTGCCACATTCATGTAAATGAATTGTGCTGCAGCACAGGGCCGCTCTAAGTGTGTGCAGAGTGGCTGCTGACCAGGGAACATGATAGCAGCAAAGGCGAGTCTTGGCTCTGCAGTCACATTGCCATGATCCTGGGCCCATGAGTTTTCTTTTTATATTTCAATTGTAGCACCTGAAAAGTGGAACTGATGGTATTCATCCAACCAATTGTCAAGAGCTGTTTTGCAGACAAAAGAAAACAACAGATATTTGTGGAAAAGTATAGAGTTGTAGAATTGTTGAAGTGCATATGGCATTAATACTGCTAGTTTCCCCTCAGATTCTTGACATTGTGTAATTCCATGCACAGAGTCAACCATTTGCAAAATCAGAGTCAGCCTGAAAGCTAGTGAGTTTGCAGGACCTGGAGTGTATGCTGCTGTCCATGAGACTTGGTTGTTACTTAAGCATTCTATTGACTGCTTCTTGGAATTTCTTACTTCATGTTGCTTCCATCCTCTTTACATACATATATAATGTGTTAAAGTTCTTCTTCCACTGAGCCAAATCCATAGATTTGATAATGGTACCAAATAGTAACTATATGAAAGAACATGTCAGAGTATCCTGCTCGAGGTCTCTTCAGCGCGGGGAGCTCATTTATCTTACCTGGGAAATGACAACAAAATGATACATAGGGATTTGGGGACGATGAGAGAATTATTGAAGTAGAACATTGAAAGTGACGCATTGCTCATTTTGAAAACATTAAAGCACGCGTAGCTCATCACCTCACCTCTTTGTACCTTATGCTAACTTTTGGTGAACATCATTTGTATTTTCCCTGTGTATGTAAATACAAGTAAGCAGAAACGGTTTTATTAAAGTAGAATCATATTTGTACTTTGGGTTTCTACAAAAGAGGACTATATTTATACTTCGGATTTGTGTAATGAAAGAAATAGAAATGGAATTTAAACGGAAGGAATTAGTAATTTCCATTTAACGTACTTTTACCAAATGGATGCTATTGAGAGCTAAAAAGCAGGGAGGACTTTTCCCCTCTAGGACTCAAGATCAAATCAAAGGCCTCTGTCATGTTAGGTGAGGGGTCTATCTTCAGCTCTTTTTTATTTTGAGATAGAGTCTCCCTAAGTCACTTAGGCTGGCTTTAACATTTATTCCTCTTACCTCAGCCTCCTGAGTAACCGGACTTACAGGAATGCTGACTAAATTTGGTTTTTGTGGGAAGATGGTTTTTTGAGTCAAGAGTCCTACCTAATGTGTAGTCTAGGCGGACTTTGAACTTAGCACGCAGCCAGGCTGGCCTCCAATTGATGACCCTCCTGCCTCAACCTCTCGAGGGCTGGGATTACTACAGGCTTGTGCCACTATGCCTGGCTTAAATTTGATTTTAAACAGCATCTTTTAAGTTTTTGCTTTGATGACATTTCTAATTTTCTTTTTTCCTGTCT